GATATATAGATATATAGATAGATATACATATAGATATAGATATAGATATAGATATAGATATAGATATAGATATAGATATAGATAAAGATATAAATATAGATATATAGCTACGGATATAGATATAGATATAGATATAGATATAGATATAGACATAGATATAGATTTGTGTGTGCGTGCGCGCATATGTATATGTATATGTACCTGCACAGATATACATTTGCATACTCCAGTTTTCATTCTAGAATTGGGAGCTTATTATATATATATACACACAATACTGCTGATAATAATAATAATAATGATAACAACAACAACAACACTTATTCTCATTACAGAAATAAGAAAAGGCAAAAATAGTAAAAATAGCAATAATACCAATAACAATAACAATACCAAAAATAATAATGATAACACTGATAATATTACTAATAACAACAACAATAGAAATGGCAGCAATAGTATTAACAATAATAACACTAGTAATGGTAGCAATAGTAGAAATAGTAGTAGTGGTAGTAGTAGTAGTAGTAGTAGTAGTAGTAGTAGTAATAGTAATAGTAGGAGGAGGAGGAGGAGGACAATAACCATCATCATCATAATTATAGCAATAACAATAAACCGAAGCATTTCCAAAACATCGCAAGCACGGAGTTTTGGATCGCAACGATTTGGAATGATGTTTGCACGATATGTGAGCACGATGATTCTGCACAAATGTATGTTGACTGTGGTTGGACGGCTGGGCTGCAGTGTATGGTCCTGTTTGCTTCACCGTGGCAATGACCCCCATCCTGCAGCACCACACGCTCCAATTCGTCGAGGTGCGTGTCATCCTTATCGCCACAGACCGGCAGCACCACGTTCACCTGCGCTGGACCCGCACAGAGATTCCAAATGACCATTGTCCTAAGGGCCTTGAAGCCGTGCTTTTTCCTGTAGACAGCTAGGGACTCCAGCTCTTTTGCCTCGGCGGCCGCTGGGACTTCTCTGATTGGACGGCCCGTGACGGCCTCGCCGGCCTCGCCTGGGACTCGATTCGCATGAAGCTGTTCCTGATGCTGCTTCTTGTTACATTCAGCCAATCCTCGGCCCGGCGGGCGGTGCACATCAGTTGTGGTGCTTCTCTGAGGTCCCGGCGCCTGCGGGACCCGCGGACAAGAGCCAGGGCACCTCATGGCCAGGGCCTGCGCATCGGTGCAACTGAGCACGTGGGCAACTGCAGCGCTTGCAGCTGTGGGACCCAGAGGCGGAGCTCCCGGCTTGGAGATAGGGGAGACGCCGAAGCCTGCAAAATGGAACCCGGCCCGGTATCACCGGCGCTGGCATGATCTCGCCTTCCTCTAGCCGTTCCCAAAAGATGCGCAAGTTCGTCAAGGCTAACCTCCGAGAGGCACAAACAAAACGCACCCCTCGGCCCCGGGGTGGGCGAGGTTGAAGACGGCCTCGTCTCCATGGGGGGAAGCGAGATGCTGTCTCTCTCCACCTGAGGAGGCCGAGAGGCACAGCGAGAGGCACGGCGACCAGTGTGACGCCTCTAACAGCCGAGCCAGCATCATCGAGGGAGCGCACATCTCCAGCCCATCCACCTCAGTCACTGAACCGCTCTGAGCCGCTCTGAGCCACTAGAGCTTCAGATGGATTCTGAGAACCTGTGCGCCGAGCTTTTCGCGACAACAGGCCTTCTTGGATTTCTACCATGTTGGGCAGCACATCTCCAGTGTGGTGGTAGTAGGCCACCTCGACTGGTGCTTTCTGCTTCCCTCAGGTCAGGTCTCCTGCCCTATCCTGAGAGCTCTGCCAAGGCGCCGAGCTGGTCGGGGCGCAGCCGGGGAACTCCGAGACACTGGCCCTGGAACTGCAAGATCGCCTCCTCGACGTCTCGAGCGAAGCGAACCGAACCCAACCCTCCACTACGGGCCTCTACGGCCGTTCAAAAGCTTCGGTTCTCCCCACCTCAGCATAGAGCCTCCGGTGACAGCCCTTCAGCCAGGGCTCCGGCCTGCGAGAAGAGCGAGGCACAGGGCATACGGGAACTGGAAGCCTGGTCCCACGCAGGTGCCTGCGCTCGCTCGGCGCCCCGCTCGCCGGCTTTGCCTCCTTGCAACATCCTTCCATGTGCCCCCTTGGCCCAAGGAGAACGAGGTCCGTCAGCTTGACACTGAAACTCTCGGCTGAGGTCCAGGGCTCTCCATTTCGAGGCCATGCAACTGAAGCGCAGAGCTGCGGTAGACCTGCGCAAACCCCAATGAGTGAGGACCTGCATGTGCAAAGCACGAGAGGTAAGCTTCAGGCGGAGACTGCAGCATGTCCGCATTATGGCGGAAGATGGCCAGCATTGCGACTCCTTTCTGAAGTCCCACACAGCACCAGCCGCTGCTCCACCAGGGCCAGGAGCATTCACGCAGCAGCGCTGGAAGGTGAACGGACCTGGTCAGGTAGCGCCCGATCCCAATCACAGGTGCGTTGAGTCCATATTCATAAACCCTAATAACTGCACATATGCATATCAACATGTCACAGCATGTCTATGCGTGTATGTATGTATTTATAGAGATACAAGTTTTTGTTATTTTGAATCACAAACCTTACTTCCATGGGAAGTTTATGATTTAAAGACAATTTTGCTACAAATGCGAGTGTCGAAAATATGGGGCTTAATGTCTTGTTTTGTGTGTTTATAATATATATATATATATATTTATTTATTTATTTAATTATGTATGGTCCCCCCCCTCATGTATCTACCGTTTGTCTCTTCCTGGTTCAAATCACTTTGCTGCACTATGACGACAAGCAGCGTGGAGCACTTTCAGTTCCTGCTGCTTTCGTTTCTTGTGTTGTCCCTACTGCTGAAACATGGAAATCATAGAAAACATTGGTTTTACCAATCTTTCGGAAAAGAAATATGGAAATCATGGGTTTTTACCAGTGATTCCTATGATTTCTATGATTTCTGGACGATCTCCCCTGGCGACCGCGGCAGATAGATTGAAAATCATGGAAATCATAGAAAACATTGGTTTTACCAATGTTTGTGACACCCAGCATTCACGAAACATTGGTTTTAATATTCTTTTGACGTCCAGCATTCACGAAACATTGGTTTTATCCATGCTTTTGACGTCCAGTTAACGACTCGCAGCATTTCCTAGGATTTAATGCTATGCCAAGACGAATCCCATCCTTTCCAGAGCCTGGTTTTATTGAATCAAAACAAATGAAAGCATGAGGAACGAGTGAAGGAAATGAAGAGAGCGTTCGTGGTTCCTGCTGTTTCTCTTTGAATTCAATTAAACACGCATCCTTTCATTCTTCATCACTTTGTTTTAATTGAATTAAAGGGAAAACAGCATGCACCTAATAATATGAAGAGAATAAAGGGCTAATTAAATTGAAGAAAGAGAATGAACGAACGAAGAGACGAGAAGTGTGCTTTCTTCATATTAAATTTGGCCTTTTATGAACGACATGGGAAAAAGAACTGATTTCAAACTAAAGAAACACGCATGCCTTCATTTCTTTCACTACTTGGTTTTCTTGTTTGGGCACTTGTCACGCGGTGATGCA